AGAAATATGGGTGGTAGCCCCCCCCCCCCCCCGACCAGTCTGTCGATCTGATTGCCGTACTTCAAAGATTTAATCAGTTATCTCAACCGATTCGTGGGAAAGGTGAGAATTCTTTTACAGTCCAAATAATTAAATAAACCGATGTTTAAATAGCAAATTAACCAAAATCCACTAATCATGTCATTTGGGGGCCTCGCTGTTGACGTGTGGTTCTGTGATACAGGTAAGATCGTCGGAGATCGGGTAAGGTAAATCCTAGATGGCTTTGTCTCCGGCCAGAGTATCATTAGATCTCCTGTCTAAAACAAACGTGTTAGCTTGGAACGTGGACAACAATCTGGAGCTGTCTGTGACATGGTTGTCAGTATGCCTCATAACACCAAGTCACGTGACACATAGCTTTGTCCTCACCGTAATTGTGAGGACAGATCGGCCACATATACTCAGAGGAACAGTTCTACACATGAATAGCGACGTTTGAAACTCAATGCATACACCAATATCTATACCGATGGTGACGATAATTATTATCCACTCGCCAAATATAATGACACGGCAATAACAGAGGACACAAAAATGACTGACATTAAAGAATCTTATACCAAACGTTGAAATTCAGGAGGAACTTCTCTTTCCCGCCAAAGGTGCTGATAATGATGGTAAAACCTGTCACACTGACCTAGTTACTATTGTATCCATTCTCAATGTAGTAAGCGGCTAGTTTGTTGTAATGATGGTAAAACCTGTCACACTGACCTAGTTACTATTGTGTCCATTCTCAATGTAATAAGCGACTAGTTTGTTGTAATGATGGTAAAATCTGTCACACTGACCTAGTTACTATAGTGTCCATTCTCAATGTAGTAAGCGGCTAGCTTGTTGTAATGATGGTAAAACCTGTCACACTGACCTAGTTACTATTGTGTCCATTCTCAATGTAGTAAGCGGCTAGTTTGTTATTGATTCGGGCGACACGTTCGTGTACACGTGCAAGGGCCAGATAGGACATCAAACCCGGGACCTCCGAACTCCAGGCGAACGCTCTAACCAACGGAGCTACCTGGTCACCGGAAGTCATTCGGCATAGCCCCGCTACACAAGTATATCCGTTCCCCGAAAGTTGTACAAATATATAGGTTTCCTGAAGGTCATGTACAAATATATTCGTTATATATATTATCTCAGTCACGACAAAGAATTTGGTGCGATGACTCGATCCCCCTGCCATGCACTCGAAGACGTTAAACAACAGAGTCCTTCATTTGTATACAAAATGTAAGCGACATTGTTACATGTACGTTTCGGAAATGTTAATTCAGTGACGGGGTACGCTACCTTAATGTCCAGCCAGAGGTAACACACGCGAAGACGGGCTATCAATCATAATGCAATCCTGGGGTGTCACTTTGCCTTTGTGTGCCAATACATTTCAACATACTATTAATGATGTCACAGGCGCCTGGGTCGTGGTCCGCTTCCACCGAACAGAGGAATATGATGTTCGAAATGCACACAAAAAACATGATACCAAAGGGGTGGACACATAAAGCTTTTTTTTGAAAATGGTAAATTTCCGTTAGCAGATATGTTTTATAAATGTTTTCAAGCTAATATATACCAGGAATATTAACGTAGAGACGTGGTTGCAACCACATTACTTCATTTCCGTAAATGATTTGTCACACGTAGGTCAAATTGAAAACGAGTTAATATCCCATTGTCTCGGCGGGAATAAACTCACTATCAACTTGATATCTTCACCCACCTTTCTCATCCTCGATATCCAGGGATTACGCTCACTTTCGCTCTCTGCACCCCTGGCATATGTCATAGCAAAATTGAAGGCACGAACATAGCTGTTTGATTGGTATCAGGTAAAAAAAAAGACATATCGCTAGGCTGATACCTGTCCTTTGGAGATTACAAAGGAGAGACGCCCGACTTCAAAGCCTGTCAATTTGTACCGTTACGTGACCGCGAGATTCTTTTGTCAAAGGATTGAATTAGTCTTCTCGTCTCATCAACAAGGTGGCGCACACTAAGCCTTCAATTTTGCTATGACATATTCCAGGGGTGTAGAGAACGAAAGTGAGCGTAACCCCTGCATATCGAGGATGACCTTTCTGGAATAGCGTATTACTTTGTTTATTAGCCTCTGCACTTTTCATGGCTCCTTTGTGTTTTACGTCCAATTAACAGCTATGGTCTTGGACGTGCCAGGTTCTGGCGGTGGAGGAAAGCCAGAGTACCCAAAGAAAAAACCCCGGCCTGCAGCCAGTACCGGGCGGCTTTCCCATGCAGGCCTCGAACCCGCCATCCAGTTGTGGAAGGCAAGTGATTACCCATCCTCGATATCCAAGGGTTACGCTCACTTTCGCTCTCTATACCCCTGGAATATGTCATAGCAAAATTGAAGGCTCAGTGTGCGCCATCTTGTTGATGAGACGAGAAGACTAGTTCGATCCTTTGATATACATCAAAAAATCTGGTGGTCGCCTAACGGTAAAAGTTAAGTCTTTGAAGTCTTGCGTCTCTCCTTTGTAATCTTCAAAGGACAGTTATCAGTCGAGCGATTGGTCAGGTTTTTTTTTAACTGAGACCAATCAAACAGCTATCTTCGTGCCGTCATATTCCAGGGGTGTAGAGAGCGAATGTGAGCGTAACCCCTAGATATCGAGGATGGTGATTGCCGAGTCCGACTTCTTAACCACTCGGGAATCGCAGCTCTACCCTTTTCATGGATTTGGTGATAACCTTTTATTATTACATTTTGGTTTATATCTGCACATTAGACTGGGAGAAGATGTCATTGAAGGCCAATACGTCAATATTACCCCTTCCACCCTACCAGCCAGCCCGCACGACGGTTACACCCTTTACTTGTAAAACTACGGTTCGCATGGGGTAAGCATGTTACAACAATAATTGGTTGAATTATGGCCAGTATGGGAGGAAATGCCATTTAAAGCAAATAAGCCTATTGGAGCACTTTTGACAAGAGTCCTTCAGCCTAGCTTCCAGAGAAGCCAGCCCCTTTGTTGAATTTTCGAACCCCACATTCTAAGGACACTAGCACTAATTGTGTTTGGTGGATGGGTGGTGCAGTGGATAGGGCACTTGCCTTTCACCAAGGCACTAACATCCGGGTCAACAAGAGTGAGTAATATAAGTGGAAAAAACGTGTTTCATAGTTGTTGTAAAATAAAACAAGAGGCCCATGGACCTGACATCTGATTCAAATTAGGACTGTCATCAAGGGGCCAATTCATACTTTTCGTCGGTCCGAGTAACCTTGCTGCATCGTCCATTAATTTTTCCTTGAGAACACAATAACTTGTTATTTTGGATGAGTTTGAATACCGGACCAATTTGACCATAACTTACATAGTTATTCCCCTTGGTAATTCTATTATTGTTGGACCCTGTGACCACGATAACTGAAATAAATGGGTGTGACTCCAATTTTGACCCAAGGGGTCTGTTTTGAACAAACTTTGGTAACTGTATGTCTTCTGTTCTTGGTTAAAAGAAACAAGTAAAAGCGTAAATCAATAATTTATTAAATAAGGCACAAAATTTTAATAGCACCTTGTTAGTAGCAAAAATGTGTCATGAATGAAAAAAAAGGTGTACCACATGAATTTACATCTATTCTTGTGTAATGTCAATCAACATCACAGGGACAAATAATAAATATAATGACAAAGGGCAATATGCAGGTTACCGTCAAATAATTACCGGACAAAGTTTCATTGAACTTCGTCAACATTTATTCAAGTTATCGTGTTTACAAGGTCCAATAATAATAATATTACAAAGGGCAATTACTCTGTAAGTTACTGTCAAATAATTCCCAGTTTCGAACTCATTTGAGATCTTATTGATATAAGGCTACATACAGAGTTTCATCAAAGTTGGTTGATATTTACTCAAGTTATCGTGAACACAAGGTCCAATACAAAATAGTGTAATAGTATTATTACAAAGGACAATAACACTGTAAGTGACTGTCGAATAATTCCCATTTTCCAACTCATCTGAGATCTTATTGACATAAGGCCGCATACAAAGTTTCATCAAACTTGGTTGATAATTACTTAAGTTATCATGTTCACAAGATCCAATAATAATATTATTACAAAGGGCAATAACTCTGTAAGTTACGGTCGAATAATTCCCATTTAGAGTCCGGGATCTTATTGATATATGGCTGCATTCAAAGTTTCATTAAACTCTGTTAACATTTACTCAAGTTCTCGTGTTCACAAGGTCCAATAATAATATTATTACAAAGGGCATTAACTCTGTAAGTTACTGTCGAATAATTCCCATTTTCGAACTCGTCCGGGATCTTATTGATATATGGCTGTATACAAAGTTTCATCAAACTCGGTTAACACAAGTTCTCGTGTTAACAAGGTCAAACAATAATATTATTACAAAGGGCAATAACTCTGTAAGTTACTGTCGAATAATTCCCATTTTCGAACTCGTCCGGAATCTTATTGATATATGGCTGCATACAAAGTTTCATCAAACTCGGTTAACATTTACTCAAGTTATCATGTTGACAAGGTCCAATACTAATATTACAAAGGGCAATAACTCTGTAAGTTACTGTCGCATAATTCCCATTTTCGAACTTGTCCGAGATCTTATTGATATATGGTTGCATACAAAGCTTCATCAAACTCGGTTAACATTTACTCAAGTAATCGTGTTCACAAAGAAAAGTTAACGCACGACGACGGACAAAAGACTATCACAATTGGTTACCATGACCTATGGTCAGGTACCTAAAAACTTTATATTTAATTGTTTTTGTTAAATTCTGCTCAACAGCTTGGAAAGGGATGTCATTAAATGCAAAAATAGACAAACAACAGACGAAGGATGATGACATGAAACATGACATAAGCTCACCCTTGTACTTGTACCAGGTGAGCTTACAACAATAACAACAAAATACCAATAGGTTTTGTAAATGCCACCTTTTATTAATAGAAATAACATTTTGCATTTATCATGTAAAAAAGTAGATTTTCCATTATTGATGTGCCAATAATACTTCTAATAAGCATTAAGCGGTTTCCTTTTTGGAGTCAATAATGACGAAAATTTAAATGAAAAAAGGAAAACAGTTATAAAGGCAAAATACTATGCTGTGTTACTCAAATGGCTACAAAACCTTGCCAATAAATATCTGGCGAGCTCTTCCGTTCTGTTGTGAGATTCATTCCTGATGGAGAAGGAGGCGGCCTCCTCAGTGTTCAGTTATTATAGAACTTACAAAATGCAGTAATTGAATATAAAACACTTTTACATGACAAAAGTATCTATATTTTCAAATTCTATTAGCGAAGCATGCATGTTGTCTCCACACAGCAGGTGTATCTACCATACAGTACAGGGGGTAGTGGAATTCTGTGACACAGTGTGATCATGTATGCTAACCCAGACTTCCCAAACAACCACAACATACATAGCACCCTGTACATGGCAGGGCTTTCACAACTATAACTATTATATAATACATATTGCATTTAAATAAGACAGGAAATATAACACAAGCGATCACTACGGATATAATCATGCATTAAATAATCGTATAAAAATGTACAATCTCAATCATAGCTATAACAACTACACGGAGAAATCACCAAAAACGTGTTTATTACCAGGAATTGGGTTTACTGGCAGTAGTACAACTAATCAATGTATTGAATTTTATTATGAATGAGTCATAATATTTACAGCACAGGAATAATACATTACATATGTTTTTATATCACAAACTGTTTATTGGTATCAGAGGTTCTGTTTAGCATAAGGCCCTCTAAAATGAGGAAAACACATGGTTTCAAATAACACTATACAATGCTCTGGGCCCAGAGCTGTAGACCAGATATAGAGACAGTGGTAATGAATGATCAAAATAAACTTCAAAAGACAAAATTCCATTTCATAATAAAATTCAATAGCTATATTGTGTACCTTTTCTCTCTCAATGCAATGATCTGATTTTTTGTGCCAATACATGTATACAACGCTAGAACAGGAAATGTGTCAACTTATGGTAAAAACTTAAAATCATGGATGAACGAATTAAAACATGGAATATAGGTCTAAAACAAAATAACAGGATAATAAAACTAAGGATACACCTGATAAAGGTATGATGTTTAGGCCATTAACTACGCAGTGCTCTATTGATATTCTACCGTACACTCCCACACAGTATAACACAGGTACTCTCACACAACCGTAACCAACAGGCTGGTGGTCATCTACTGACCAAACCCACCGCACTATTGACCTATCAGCTAGGCTTAAGTTATTAAAAACGTTTAAAAAATATTATTGCTTAAGAAAATAAACTCTTAAAATAATATTTAATCGGTTTACAATATGACCAGACTTCCTGTAAAAGTATATCGATTAAAAAAATTATCTTCTGAAATAATATTTAATTGGTTTACAACACAACCAGACTTCCTACGGAAGCGTTACACAATGATATCTTGAAATGAAAAATACAGTTCATCCTCAATGTATTTTGACAATAATATATACATTTTGTAAGTATTTTCTTATGATAAATTTGCATAATAGGTTTGTTAGAAATTGACAAGTCAGGAAATGACTGCATCAGTAATAGCACCTTACAATGACACTAGACTAACTGGCACACAGCTACCCTGACACTAGACTAGCTGGCACACAGCTACCCTGACACTAGACTAACTGGCACACAATACAGCTACCCTGACACTAGACTAACTGGCACACAGCTACCCTGACAGTAGACTAACTGGCACACAGCTACACTGACACTAGACTGACTGGCACACAGCTACCCTGACATTAGACTAACTGGCACACAGCTACGCTGACCCTAGACTAACTGGCACACAGCTAAGCTGACACTAGACTAACTGGCATACAGCTACGCTGACACTTGACTAACTGGCACACAGCTACCCGGACACTAGACTAGCTGGCACACAGCTACCCTGACACTAGTCTAACTGGCACACAGCTACCCTGACAGTAGACTAACTGGCACACAGCTACGCTGACACTATACTAACTGGCACACAGCTACGCTGACCCTAGACTAACTGGCACACAGCTAGGCTGACACTAGACTAACTGGCACACAGCTACGCTGACACTAGACTAACTGGCATACAGCTACGCTGACACTTGACTAACTGGCACACAGCTACCCTGACACTAGACTAACTGGCACATAGCTACCCTGACACTAGACTAACTGGCACACAGCTACCCTGACACTAGACTAACTGGCACACAGCTAACCTGACACTATTCTATTTGACAATCGATCATAAGGTCAGCAATGTTATTTCTTTAGGGAACTATGGCTTTTGGCAACATGTTTAGTTAAATGTGTCACCAAACAGATCTGACAGAAATGATAAACTTAAACATCAAAGTGTGTTTGTAAGTGTGAGCTATCGTAGGTAATAAGACTGTAGTGAATGTGGCTCACACATAATATAACACTGTCTGCTACCATTAGTTAACATATCATTACATATTTATAAAACCTTCTGTAAATATACCTGATCCTTTACCAATGAGAGAACACAAATTGCACCTTTAACCAAAAGTGTATTTCTGACTCCAACTCTGTAGATCATCACAACCCCAATGTAAACATAGCTCTGATAAAACGATGCTCAAATAAATAGGGCTTTAAAGAAAACTTACATTGATAAGTTCCACATCAAAATTTTGCTTTGAAGTGTTTAAATTTCTGGTATGAATGTCAATGGACAAGCCACAGACTTACACTGACACCTGACATATAAAACTGTTTATCACTGTGTATCAAGCCACAGACTTACACGGACACCTGACATATAAAACTGTTTATCACTGGGTATCATGATTTAAAACAGGAACAACCTCCTTAGTATATTAGTTAAAATAAGTTGAGCAAAAAGGTAAATATATTCGAACATGATTTGTTTATGGTAGACCCCAGACACAACCGATGTATCTACTAAAATGTGTAAGTAGATATCTACTATAATGTGTAAGTAGGTATAAGTTATCTTCAGCTAACATGGCTAGCAGGGGGTTGGCCCGGTAAAAAATTGGGCTCAGACATATTCTGATGTCAATTTCTGAATTAATTTGACTTTCAACATTTTCAAGAAGTGTTTGTTATAATTTTATCGTTGTACAATTACATTACAGAGTCTCTGTGTACACAATTGTCAAAATTCAGAGTAATGCAAACATAACATCAGTGGAGTTTTAGATATGATCATCAAAACAGAATGGTTAAGCTACTCATCATACACCAGACACGATACTCTACCTCACCAAAACAGAATGGTTAAGCTACTCATCATACACCAGACACGATACTCTACCTCACCAAAACAGATTGGTTAAGCTACTCATCATACACCAGACATGCTTACTCTACCTCACCAAAACAGATTGGTTAAGCTACTCATCATACACCAGACACGATACTCTACCTCACCAAAACAGAATGGTTAAGCTACTCATCATACACCAGACACGATACTCTACCTCACCAAAACAGAATGGTTAAGCTACTCATCATACACCAGACACGATACTCTACCTCACCAAAACAGAATGGTTAAGCTACTCATCATACACCAGACACGATACTCTACCTCACCAAAACAGAATGGTTAAGCTACTCATCATACACCAGACACGATACTCTACCTCACCAAAACAGAATGGTTAAGCTACTCATCATACACCAGACACGATACTCTACCTCACCAAAACAGAATGGTTAAGCTACTCATCATACACCAGACACGATACTCTACCTCACCAAAACAGAATGGTTAAGCTACTCATCATACACCAGACACGATACTCTACCTCACCAAAACAGAATGGTTAAGCTACTCATCATACACCAGACACGATACTCTACCTCACCAAAACAGAATGGTTAAGCTACTCATCATACACCAGACACGATACTCTACCTCACCAAAACAGAATGGTTAAGCTACTCATCATACACCAGACATGATACTCTACCAACAATTAGGTTTAACACACTCGTGACTGCTCTACCTCGACACTGACACTCGACACACTACTGTAATGTACTTATTACTTTAACACACTCGTGACTGCTCTACCTCGACACTGACACCCGACACACTACTGTAATGTACTTATTACTGACATTTAGTAACTATATATGGCATCTTAGATATTACATAAAATTTAAACATAGAATCAATTAAAAATGAAAAATACCTGGTATACAATTTGGTAATGTAAATCAATAAAATTTATAGAATTTTTGTAAAAATGAATTTATTGTTATCATAAAGTTGATAAATGTTTACCAATGTTTGTTACAGGCAGCAGGTTTTGTTTCTAAGATACCAAGGCCTAGGATATATACAATATATGTTTCAGCTGGCAGACTTACACAGCCAATCATCAGGAATGCATTATAGAATCAATGATCAATGTAGTTACATGTTGGACACCTCGGTGTAGGCAGTAAGGTCATGAGGGCCGATGTTGGAGATGACCTCCTTATGGAGGGAGTGTTTGCTGATGAAGATGACCATACCTGACAAGGTGCCACGTGCCTTGGCTATTTCACTGATGTCCTGTTTATGTTGAACATATGTTATCTTCTCGTCCAGCACCTACAAACATAGAAAGTACAATCAGGATATATATATATATATAGGACAGTTACATAGTACTACATATAGATATACTGTTATATAGTACTACATATAGATATACTGTTATATAGTACTACATATAGATATACTGTTACATAGTACTACATA